CAGAGGGCAGAGGAGGTTCGGGAAGTAGTGTCGGAGGAAGCGTCTCTGGCTCTGGGGGTATGGGTGGAGGAGGAGCGCTCGGAAATGGCAACAGCTATGGGAACGGTGGAGGCCAAGGTGCGGGACTGGCCTTGGATGGCGTCTGCCGGGACTTCATACGCAATGTTTGCAAGAGAGGAAAGCGCTGCCGCTTCAGACACCCAGACTTTAACGAGGTGCCAGACTTGGGAGTGCAGAAGAACGAATTCATCTTTTGTCACGATCATCAAAATAAGGAGTGCATGCGCTCCAACTGTCGCTTTGTCCACGGATCCAAAGAGGATGAGGACTATTACAAGAAGACGGGAGAGTTACCTCTCAGACTAAGAGGGAAAGTTGCTGCACGGCTAGGCCTCTCCCCCATGGATCTCCCCCATAGCCGCGGTGAGGTTCCCATCTGTAGAGACTTCCTGAAAGGAGAGTGCCAGAGGGGCAATAAATGTAAATTTCGCCATGTCAAAAAAGACTGTGAATATGAACCAACCAGGGTTGGAGTGGGTGGCGTTATGGGGCCAGGTGTCAGTGGCATTGTGAATGTTGGAGGAGGCATGGGTGGAGGAGGAGGTGCTTGCGGAGGAATGCAAGGACTTGTGGGAGGTGGCGCAGGGGGTGGAGGTAATATGATGGGGACCGGCTGCCCCGGCTTGGGTGGTTGCAGAGATCCAGGTATCTCAGGTCTTGGAGGAGTAGGAGGAAGTGGAATGAGTGGGTGTCTATCCATAAGTTCATCTGGACAGCGACGTTATGACAGGAGCACATGCTCAATGTTTGACCCTCTGGTTGAAAGTGGTCTGTTTGATGCTGGTTCCCTGGAGACCTCTATGGACCACACCACTCTACAGTTAAAGAGGCGACGGTTGGAGGGGCTGCGTCTGACAGATGGGAGTGGAGGTGGGCACTACGAGTTGGGAGTTCAAGCCACCTTGCCGCCTCGTCCTCTGGAGTACAGATTTCTAGAGGAAGAAAATTCCCTGCTAAGGAAGAGAGTGGAAGAATTGAAAAAGCAGGTAGGTATAAGAATCATATTATGACTTCCTGGGAATGGAGTCATGCCACCGATGCAGAATTTAAATGGCTTCAGTCATTTTTTTACTGAGATACATGCAAAACAAGCATTGGCAAATTCCAACTAAATGGAAACTTTATCGAGGTGTTTTATGACACATCCTGGAAAGATTAAATATCTATCTATATATTTCAACATAACAAGTTCAAAGAAAAGACCGATCCAAACAGCATCTCAGCGGTATATCCAAAAATCCACCAGAATGTTCGTCCCATGTTTGTTAGAAGTGTGATTAGGTGTCTGCTGACAGACTTGTATATTAAAATCCCAGCAATCAACAGTTTACATTAACATTACAATAAAATTTTAAATATAAGGTGAAAGGAGTTGGCGACAAAGGGGGACTTTTTTTTCATGTAGTTACAATTAAGCAAACTTTGCTGATCTAAACAAAGAGTCATCCAGGAACCTATTTATGTGTTTCTTCTTTGGAGGATGCTAATGACACATTTTTGTGTTGCTGGGCTCTTTTTCAACATTTAGATCCCATCATATTAGATGGAATCAAAATGTTGGAAAAGAACCCAGGAACACACTGTTAAAATGGTCAGTGTTATTAGTAAGAACTGAGATCATCTGATGTCCAAAAGCACAGAATTTAGACTGCTGTAAATGCTCTGCCTATTGGCTGTAATGGTGGACTTGAAGGGGAATGAGCTGAAATTGTTACTGAAGAGTTAATATGAAGTGATGGCTGTGCAGGAGTAAATGGGGAAGAATTTGTTTCCCCTTTAGTCACCTGACAGAAAGGCCCACTGGATGTTTTGGGGGTAAAAGGAAAAGACACTCTGTAACATCATGAGACACACAAACACTCAGATTCTGCGGTTTTTAGCCTTCTCTCTCTGTAAAACTATGTGATAAGTTAACACAAAGTGTAAGACTACTTGTAAATGATTTCCTTTATATCTTTGCGTATTTCAAATATTTAATGTCTCTATGTGTTTCCTGTCATGAACTTTCTGCCTGTTTATACTAAACTCTTTCTTATGTGTTTTTCAGGTTTCCAATCTTATTGCCACAAATGAGGTTCTCCTGGAGCAGAACGCCCAGTTCCGAAGTCAAGCCAAAGTGATGACACTGTCTTCAACTCCTGCACCCACTGAGCAGACTCTGGCGCCCCCTGTAGGTTCAGTGAGTTCCTACAACCATAGCATCGCCCAGACTCACACCACCTTGAGCAGTGCTCCGTTACAGGCTCGGCCAGTCACCCAGCAAGACCTTGTAGCTCCCGCTGGTGCCCCTGCAGCCCCCCCAACAAATGCAGCCCCACCCACAGCTCCTCCACCACACCTCAATCCTGAGATAACCCCCCTCTCAGCCGCCCTCGCACAGACCATTGCCCAGGGAATGGCACCCCCTGTTTCTATGGCGCCAGTGGCAGTATCTGTGGCACCTGTGGCAGTGTCCATGACTCAGCCGCTTCCCGGGATCACTATGAGTCACGCCACCACCCCAATGGTGTCGTACCCAATTGCAAGTCAAAGCATGAGGATCACAACCCTGCCACACTGAATGAATGCAGGGGCTGCAATACCAATGAGTCGAACTGGAAATGTACTTGAACTTTGATGGGTTTTGAATTTTTACACAGATGGACTTTTTTTTTCTGTGTATGAGACTCAGAAGACGTTTAAACAAAGAGAGATGTGTGATAGAGACACTTCTTTTTCTCCACCAGGGGTCAGGATAAATGCTTATCCTTCCCTAAATCAGAACTGTGTTCTATGGCAACGTTACAAATGTTGAGGGTTTTGAGGGGTTTTTTTGTTTTGTTTTCGCAGATTGACTGACACAAGCCCTGGCGAAGGTCTTTGTACCAAAGGGATCTTTTCATACACACATACACTAAAAATGACAAAAGACTTAAAACTCGTGCCGTCATCTGTGGTGTGTGAAATGTGAATCGTTTTGGCAAGGCTGCAGCATTGTCCATCTAAAGACATTGGAAACAGTTTGTTTTTTTTTTTTTGTTTTGATTGTTCTGGTGTAAATTAATTTTGGTACTTTGCACATTTGAAACAAAACCAACAAAAAAAAGAATTACAACCACTCAACAGTGAATCCTGTGTTTTCTGTCTTTTTACAGTTGATTTTTTTTATGTTTACATATGTCATAAATGTATATATTTTAATTTTGAAGTGATATTAGTGCTCATGTTTGTATCCTGTTGGTCTAGTTGTTTGGGAGGAGTCATGCTGTGTAAACTAGAGCTTAATCTCTGTTTAGTAACTTCATGTGTGTGTGGCTCTTTAAACAGCTTAAGTATCTGGTGTTGACTTCACACTCTGGGGCCTGGTGGGAGCGCTTCAAGTTGTATTTAGTTATTGTCAGTTTAGTATTTATGTAATCACTGCAAAGCAAATATTTCTGAAAACAATTACTTCAAAACCAGATATTGCAGGTATTGGACCTTCATACTAAACGTGGTACAACCAAAACATTTTCTTTAATCACAGCATTATTTTGGGGAAAGTGGTTCAAATGCAAGCCCGTACTAGCTTTTAAAATACACCCACTTTATTAGGTATGCTTGTTTAATTGCTCATTCATGCAAATGTCTAGTTCAAAGTGGGCATTGAAATTGGGGGAATAAAAAGTTGTAAAGTGGTTTTAAAATAGTCAGATGTCGGAGCAGAATGGCCAGACTGCTTCAAGCTTTAAGGAAGGTAACAGGAAATCGGATAACCACTTTTAACAACAACGGTATGCACAAGAACACCTCTGAAAATAAAATAGTGAACAGCAGCAGATGACACTAGTACCACTCCAGCCAGCAAAGATCAGCAAACGGTTTGAAATTTGCATGGGCTCATCAAAATTGTACAACTGAAGTTTGGAAAGTATTTCCTGGTCTCATGAGTCTCGATTTCTGCTGGTTTGTAGGATTGGAACTTGACAAACAACCTGGAAGTATGGATCTGTCGTGCCTTCTATCAGTGGTTTGTGTTTTTGGTGGTGTAACAGTGTGGAGGTATATTTTCTCTGGGCCTTTAGGACCAATTGTGCATCACTGGTGCCATATACCCTACCTGAATATTACCTATCATGTCCATGGTGTACCTGTCCTCTCATGTCACAAAGGACAGAGCAAACTGGTTTCTTAAACATGAACTTGAACAACTTCACTTTACTCAAATTTCCTCAACAGTCATCACAACGCAATTCATGAGAGCACCTTTGGTAGATCGGGAGCTTCTCATCATGGATGTGTAACCAACAAATCTGATATAATAATATGGACCAAAATCTGAAGGGAATGTTTCCAGCACCTTGCTGAATCTATGCCACCAAGAACTGGGGCAGTTCTCGGTGTGGGGGGTAGGGTATTATATACTTAATAAAGTGGCCATGCTTTAGAAACCGCATGATGACTAATGAAAAGTGTGGGCACGTGGTGTCTCTTAGAAAGTGCTTCATTTTGTGCCAAGAGGAGGAAAAAATATCGACTTCAAGCGGTTTCAAATGCAAGTGTTTCCAAATTTGTGTGTTCAAGACCATTCTTAACAACTGAATTATAATCTAACTGCAAATTTATCACAGTTAATCTTTACTTACTATACTACTTATTTTTTATAATCTTATAACGTAATCCTAATTACATGTAATTACTATCCAACCCTGCTTACTGAAATCATGGCAATGGCCTGTGCGCTATTTGGGGGTTTGGGGAGAGATGATAAAGCAGTAGGAAGTATTTCCAAGCGTGTATTGTTCAATTAATGGGTGGTCTGTGCTTCATTAGACATATACCCTTTTTTCGGATAGTTTGATTATAGAAAACTTACGAACTTCTACATAATGCTGCAGTAATAACAGTGACTGGGTAATTTGACGCAGCAAACAGTCAAAAACGCCTTTTTAGTGGGCGTGTTTTTATTCGGCTAACGGGACTGGGTGAGCAGCAGCCTTCGGGGACTTCTCCGAGATCTGTGCTCAATCAATACTACCGATCCAATCCAGCGATCGCGATCACATTTTAATTGTAGTCCGTATAAAATGCAACACTCGTGAACGGCGAATTAGCGGCGGTGCTCGGAAAGCTGACGCGCAGCAGCGGTGCGTTTGTTCAGGCAGTGGCTCGCACGAGTCATGAAACCGCAGATTAAGTGTTAGGGAAGTTCGATCGCCGTTTTAAAGACAGCAAATATCATTCAGCGAACAGCCTTGCGGTATTTTAGTGGTTTTAGAAGATAACCATAATGCAGAGCGACAAGCCGGAGCCGAGCGAATCCAAGGGCGCCGAGTGTCCGAGCACAGGCGACCACGAGAAGAAAGCCATGAGTAACGTGGAGGCAGAAACTGACAAACCCAGGGGGATAAGTGCAGTGGCGGTACTCTGGACCTTTGGGAAATGCCTGGGTGCCTTGCTGCCCGTCTACCTTGCCGGATACTATCGGGTCAGCACCAGTCTGCTGGTGTTCGGCATGATGATCTACACGGGATGGAAACATGCCCGAGAAGGCAAGGAGACGCGCCTGAAGTCAGCCATACAGCTGCTCGACAACGAGCAAGAGTACACATCCACGAGAGTGTCCAAAATCAAGCGAGACCTTCCTGCATGGGTAAGACATGAATGTACCTGATGGTCTGAGAGGATATTAAACTTTCTGCTGCTGCACTGTCTCCCCCTCTGCCCACTTTGGCCTAGAGTAACCTTACATTACACAAATCAAGCAAAGCCTGGCACTGGACCATGCAATCACAATACCACTACAGAGGCTACTGTAGGGTGTAATGAGTATTTTTGAGTGATTTATCCCCAAGCAGTAATTATTATTTGCTGCAATGGAACTATGGCATGCACCACAGCCTAGTATAGCCTTGAAAAACTTTGCTGAACCGTTGCTCTTTAGCTCCTCAATGGAGTATGCAGTTTTGTAGAACTCTTTGTCCCTCTTCCTTTCATACAAAGACACTTCCTAAATTCATTGCACACGTGTTTCATTTTAAAACGAAACATGTCTAAAAGCACACAAGGGGATTGTTGCTTCAAAAACAGCTCCAAAAACACTCAAACTGTCTAATCAAAACTGAATGGAGAATGTGTGAGGACACTGGACCTGCAGTCTATAGTACATCTTTGTAGTAATTGTCGACAGAACGCAATTTCAGAAACCCACATGTGCCTCTGTCGTCTAGGAGTATCTGGCCACACCCAAGTGAGGTTCTGTGAGTTCCTGTTTCAGGAGTGATTAAAATGATTGAGTGCATAACCAGACAGAATGCATCTCCTCACTGAAGGGTTCAAAACAGATTTCTCAATTGTCATGTGGTAATGCTTTGTCTGAGAGAAACCTATGAAATATACATGGGGGGGAAACACTTCAAGCACATATATTGCAAAAGTATCTTGACAACTGACTTACAATGCTTAATGTGTAATAGCCACATCATTTTAAAGTGATCTTTTTATATAACATATCTTCATCCATTTTTTTGTATAGTTTTTGAAAAGCTTTTTCAGTCTGAACCCTCAGGGAGAGAGCACTGTTGTGATAGTTACCGGTCATCTGTGAATGAATCATTTCCCTTTCCTCTTGTTTGTTTATCAATTTCTCTACACAATTTAAGCATGTTCCTGCCCTCTGTTTCTATCCTTCAGGTAAACTTTCCAGATGTTGAGAAGGTTGAATGGCTGAATAAGGTAAAACTTCAGCAAGTTCCTCTTTTTCTTCATCATTTTATTGTACAACTGTCCATTTTCCCTCAAGCCCAGCAAACACACGCCGTTCAACCGCCCAGCTGTTGTGTTGATTGACGCTTAGTGTGTGCACGCTGATAAGTACTGTTGCTACCTTAGTGGAAAAAAGGCCACACCCCCACCATTGTGGCCACTCTGTCTGTACTGCAGAGGGGAGGCCCGGTGCCAGACAGCCCACTCAACATTTCCATTTCATTGCAGCCTACCAGGCTCACAGGAAAGGGGAGGAGCCACATAGCTCTCCAAACTAAAAAAAACCCTGCAGCCCCACCCCATCTCCTTCTAGCTCTTCTAGCCTAGAGAAAGGCCTCTAATACAGACATAAAGAAATAAAAAGCATTCAAGATAGCAGGATCACAAGACGTAAGCATTAGAAAGCAGACAAAGCAGAGGTTTGAGACTGCTTACTGCAGGGGAGGTCAGCAGATTGCTTTACTGCTCAGGCTTCATGCGCCATAAGAGCAGGCAGCTGATGACTCATTCTCCACTTATGCCAGACTCTAACCAACTGTGGGGTTTTTGTTTTTTTGACAAAGTCAGAGGCACGCAAGCAAACTGTGCTCTGTTTTTAGATTCTTTCTCATTGACAATAGACTGAAGACTGCACAGGTTTACATAGTGGTATTAATATTGTGCAGAAAGAACCACATCTAGACCACAGATGTCATACAGCACGTTGTGACCCCAAACAAGAACACTAACAGCTGAGGAGGTTTAGTACACTGCAGCTGTCTCTGTCATTCTTTCTGGTATTTCAAACAGAAGGCAAAAGTTTACTTGAAGCAGTTGTCTCGGTTATGTTTATGAAAGATAAAAACATCGTATTAAAGCATGTGCTTGATATCCTGGCCAGGTCCTGCAGCAGGTGTGGCCCTTTGTCGGCCAGTACCTCGAGAAGCTGCTGGTAGAAACCATCGCTCCTTCTATCCGAGCCTCAAGCAGCCACCTCCAGACCCTCAGCTTTACCAAGGTGGACATGGGAGACAAGGTGATGACACTGAGAGTTTACACAGTGCTATGGATTTGCAGCAAATATCCACACAAGTGATGCATGATGGAGTTATACTGTTCAAACAAATGTCCTTTATGTTTGCTTTAGGCCATGAAGGTTGTAGGGATCAAGGCACACACAGAAAATGACAAGGGACAAGTCTTGCTGGATCTGTATATTAGGTGACTTTTTACCCTTTTGCTTTTTACTCTCTCTTTACTGGAATGTTTCCAGGGTGCTCATATTGGTGACATTTTTGTGCTTATATCTTCAGCTACGTTGGCAACGTGGAGATCAATGTTGAAGTGAAACGGTACTTCTGCAAAGCTGGAGTCAAAGGCATACAGGTTTGTCTTCTTATCCAAGCTTAAAACTACTATGTGGTGACATTATTAGACAACCATTTCATGTAAAGCTTTTAAATGCCAATCTAGAGATCCAGAATTCAGTAAAATAGAAATAAAATCAGATTTTCTTTATTTAGTGATAATTGGCCTTTCTGTTTCTCTTTTGCTTCAGCTACACGGGATGATGCGAGTGATCCTTGAGCCTCTGATTGGAGATGTGCCCATTGTGGGTGCAGTCTCTATGTTTTTCATCCGTCGGCCTGTAGGTCAATTTACATTTACAATTCACCTCCATTAGTCCTTCTCTTGTTGCACCTTCCAACCCCCATTCCTGTCAATAACACGTGTCCTATAGTCTTGTATGCTATTGGTTTGCTATCAGTCCTTAAAGATTGCTCTACACAGTTCCTTCTTATCTCTTCCCAGAAACTAGACATCAATTGGACTGGACTGACTAATTTGTTGGACATTCCTGGACTGAAGTGAGTCATGCTGAAAAAGTCTTGCCTTGCTTTACACATTATTAATAACCATAGCCTTTAAAGGGAACCAAGTCTGCTTGTTTCCAACTAAATGTTTCCAACTTCATGTACACTATTCAAGAAGCTTTGCATGATCATGATTCACAGTTAAAAATAATCCCCACTCATCCTATGCAGTGATTTTGTAAAGCCCCACAGTTTAGCTATACCTCCCTTCCCTTCTGCAAATTCAAGGCAAATTTCTCCTAATTGAATGCCCTTCATAAACAGACAAGTGGATGGGGCTTCTCTCTGCTTGCAAGAGATTAACATTTTAGTGATGTGAGCCTGATCGAGATCGTTTGGCTCAGAGGAATTACCTGTACATAGGCTGACTTCATTGTTTGAAACTTCTGTCATATTTAAGAGGTGCATGCAACATTAACAGTATATTTATAAGAGAAACTAAAGAAAGTACAATATTTTCCCTTCAAAAATGCCGTTTCAATAATTTACTTTTATTGTACAATGAAAATTAAATGATTTTTAGTGCTGCCACTGAAATATTACTCTGTTCTATGTTTTAGTGTCATGTCAGACAGCATGATTATGGATGCTATCGCCTCCTTCTTGGTGCTGCCCAACCGCCTGGTTGTCCCGCTGGTTCCTGGCCTGCCTGTGGCCCAGCTACGCTCTCCTTTGCCCAGGGTAAGGCCTGAATATTCATCTGCACATTCAGACTACAATTGTACTTCAAGCTTTAAAACACTAGTGTATGAACCTCTTCTCCTCTCTCAGGGTGTTGTACGCATCCACCTACTGGAGGCACAGAAACTAGTAGCCAAGGACAACTATGTGAAAGGGGTCATGGCAGGCTTGTCTGACCCCTACGCCATATTAAGGGTGGGACCTCAGACCTTCACCTCCAAACACATTGACAACACAGATGCCCCCAAGTGGGGAGAGATGTATGAGGTGAGGAGAAAGGTTTTTTGTTTTCTTTGTAAACCATCAGCACGTCATTTCACTTTGTTCTGTATTTGAGTGTTTCTCCTGATATATCAGTCACTGGCATTGTTCATTTTCATTCACGAGGCTGCAGACAGCTTCCATACAAGCCCCTTTGTCAGTCGTCATGTCCTTATTTGTGTTCCGTACATCAGGTTATTGTCCATGAAGTACCTGGTCAAGAGTTGGAGGTTGAGGTATATGACAAAGACCCGGACAAGGATGATTTCTTGGGCAGGTACATATGCATAATTCATGTCCTGGTTGAATCTCATGTTGTCACCTTTCATTTGTCACCTGCATGAACAGTGGGGAAAAGTACTTCGAATGTTCAGAGTCTCCTTTCTGTTCTGTTGATCATTGAAATTGCACTACTGTATTTTGTTTTTAATCCTTCTTGTCTTGCACTCCTCCTCCCTATAGGACCAAATTGGATTTGGGCATTGTGAAGAAATCCATAGTTGTCGATGATGTAAGTGAGCAGTTTTCTTTTTTTATCTTTGCCACACTGAGGATGATTTTTTAATCATAAGACGGTGAAAGTATGTCTGAATGTGTCTTCCCAGTGGTTCACTCTGAAGGACACAGATTCTGGACGGGTTCACTTCAGGCTAGAGTGGTTGAGTTTGCTGCCAAGCACTGATCAACTAGAGCAGGTCTGAGTGTCTAATTTTCACTGATGATCAGCTTTTCGTGTGTCATCGAGGAGACTTGTGTTTGTTGTCAAACAATTACACTAAAAGAAATGTTGTAAAATCATCATCTAGGTCCTGAAGAGGAACGAGAGCATCACCAACAAGAATGCTGATCTCCCTTCTTCAGCCATCTTGGTTATCTATTTGGATAAGGCTGAGGCGCTTCCTGTGAGTCAAATAAGTGTGCTGTGTGTGCCCACATTCGTGCACAGCTCAGAGCTGCTTCCTGTGTGTGGTTAAACTAACTGAGCTGTAACTGCCA